CAACTCACAAAAGGAGGGTAAGAATAGTAGTACAACTTGCAAAATGTAACCAATGTCACTAAAGTGTACATATAGAAACTGCTGAATTGGTGTATGTTTTGTTGTATATTCTCAACAACAACGAAATAAACAAAATTTAAAAAAAAAAGACGACTACTGAAGCATAGAGAAATTAAGTAATTTGCTTCACACAGCTATGCCTCCAGAAGTACAAACAGCCTCACATTCTCCCCACCTCCAAAGCAACCAAACAATGGTTATAAGGATTACCTTCACTCATCCTGAATTTCTTAGAAAATTCCTGCATTGTGAAGCTTTATTCCTGTCCAGATTTCCATAAAGGCAATGTACCTCCAATTTTCAGAGCTTTGTCAGCTCGATCACACAAATAAATTCATAAGCCAGACACAGTTTCTTTTTCAGAAAAAGAAAAATTCAGTAAAATGGCAGGATATAAGATCAACACAAAAAATCAGTTGGATTCCTCTACATGAACAAAGAGATGTCTAAAAGGAAGTTAAGAAAAAGCAACACCATTTACAATAGCTACTAAAAAGATAAAATACTTAGGAATAAATCTTACTAGGGGCACAAAAGACCTATACAAACAAAACTACAAAACTACTATGAGAAACTATATGAGACCTATGTAATGGAAGGACAGAAACTGAATATTGTAAAAATGTCAATAATACCCAAAGCAATCTATGATGAAAAGTAATCCCTCTCTGGATTTCATCAACATTTTTTAGGATATGGAAAAAACAATCACTAATTTTATATGGAAAAGAAAGAGACCTCAGATAAGCAAAGTACTACTGGAGAAGAACAAAGTCGGAGGACTCACAGTCCCGGATTTCAAAACCTACCATACAGCCACTGTAGTCAAACCAGCCTGACATTGCTGCAACAACAGGCACAGAGACCAGTGGAAAATAATTCAGAATACAGAAACAGATCCATCCACCTATGGACAGTAGATCTTTGACAAAGGGCCAAAACCCATTCAATGGGGAAGAGATAGTCTCTTTAATAAATGGTGCTGGCCAAACTAGATATCTATTTGCAGAAAAATAAAACAAGATCCATATCTCACACCATACATAAAAACTAACTCAAGATGGATCAAAGACCTAAATGTAAAACCCAAAACTATAAAGTTCATCAAAGATGAAATACAGGCAAACTGAAGGGCCTGAAGGTCATAAATAGACTATCAAACATAAACCAGAATGCATAAACAGCAGAAGATAAATTGGGACCTTCTAAAAATTAAATTCTTATATGCATCATAAAACTTCTCCAAAAGAGAAAAAGGAGAACATACAGACTGGGAAAAACTATTTAGCAACAACACATCCAACAAGGCACTTATCTCTAAAATATATGGACAACTTCAACAGCTCAATATCAAAAGGACAAACAATCCAATTCAAATATGGGCAAATGACATGAACAGATACTTCACCAAAGAAGACATCCAGGCAGCCAACAAACACTTGAAGAAATGCTCACAATCATTAGCTGTTAAAAGATGCAAATCAGAACAACAAGGTATCATCTCACTCCTCCAGTTATAGCAAACATCAACAAGACAGAAAACAAATGTTGGCGAAGGTGTGGAGAGATTGGAACTCTGAATAAATTGCTGGTGGGACTGTAAAATGGTACAACCACTGTGGAAAACAGTATGGTGCTTCCTTAAAAAGTGGGATACAGAAATATCATTTGATCCAGTAAACCCACTACTAGGAATACATCCTAAAAAGATGAGACCCAGGACACGAATAGATACAGGCACACCCATGTTCACCCATTATTCACAACAGCAAAGAGATGGAAACAGCCTAAATGTCCATCAGTGGATGAATAGATAACCAAACTATGATATATACACACAATGGAATACTATGCAACATTAAAGATCAATGAATCTGGAAAATAACTCAAAACATGTATGAACTTGGAGGACAATATGCTGAGGGAAATAAAGTTAATCACAGAAGGACAAATATTGTATGAGTTCATTATTATAAAAAGTCAAGGAAAGGTTTATACAGGGAATGAAATTTTCTCTGCCTTTGGGTAGACATGGGAGGGGGAAATTGCTAGCTAGATGAGAGACATATATTGATTTCAGTGAGGGAAAGGCAGTATAGGAAAAGCATGCAACCAACATTGTATCACTAAGGAAAAGGAAGACATGAGAGGTGCACAAGAAATACAGACAATAAAGGTAACTACTATTACATACACAATAAAGCATTTTAGTGACAACAAACATTCATCTATGGGTGGATACCTGGGTAGACAGAGAAGATAATAAGGCATAGGTAGGAAAATAGGAATATACCCATGACTACATATATGTTTGTTGTTGTTGTTGTTATGTGCCGTCGAGTCGGCCCCTACTCATAGCGACCCCTCCTTGGGTTTCCGAGGCAGTATCACTACGGAAGTAGGATTGCCCAACCTTCCTTCCG